GCGTCGCGTGCGAGACTAGCCACCATGGCTAACAAGCCCTTAGCTTTTGCAGCTTCCTGATATCTTGTATTTCATACTACAAAACATAACGCCATTCCTCCTTGTAAGTCTTCCCACGAAACTGTTCGTCCGCTCTCCCTCTGCGGCGACTTCTCCCTTGCAAGTACCACCGCTTCTCTCATCTCCACGAAGAACGCGTATTTTTGTTTTACTATAGCACAAGTGTGGCCTCCCCTAACAAGAGTTTCGCACCTGGAGAAGACAGACTTGTTTGGGTTCGGATGGGTCCGTGCAAGGCAGCGTCGTCGTCACTCGCGTCGTGCCGTCGTGCTGCGGAGTCTTCACCCTCAGCATGAAGTGCTTTGTGTTTGTTTGTGACGACAACGAGACGCAGGGAGACAGACGCGGAGGGCACGGAGATGTGGATGGGGAGTACTCGAATGTCTGCTTGCCTGGGTTGCTTGGCAATTGTCCACGCTTCCCTGCCGAGATGGAGCACGCTGCTCCTGATGATATGTTGCACGTGCTCAGTACTCTTGTTTCGCTAACATTGCCTCCTGCCTTTTACTTTCCTCTGTGTGGATGGACCATGTATTTCTCCAGCAGGACAGAAATAATCTCGCCAATGAACTGCACATGCCCATGTTTCATCCTCTGATTATGTAGCTTATCTCCGACTAAAAAAATCATCTCTCCTTTCCACGTTGCACAAATTATTTTCTCCGCGAATGAGTTGTACTCCCTTCTGTCGAGCCGATGTTTGGATCTGTAAAAAAAAAAAACTCTGTCACTGTCAGCATGAGATTCTTATCGTTTGTCGAAAGCGGCAGACACAAACTAGGAAAATGTACAGGAAAAGAAGCGGCCATCCCACCCAAGCCGAGAGAGAGAGAGAGTTTTTCTTCATGGCGGCAGAGTTAGTCACCGTGTTGTCTGCGCGATGCGTGCCATCAGAGGGCGGAGATATTTTTGCCAGCCCCAGGATGACAGCCAGCCGTTGTTCTTACGCAATATGATGAACCGATCAAGATTCAGCATCGTCTTGCGTTACCACTTAACACCACCTCACCGTCGGAACGCAGAAACTCTCAATACGCTGGTAGACGTTGTAGAGTTCACAATAACTTCGGTTGAACTGCAAGAAAAGTGCAGATAGAATGACCGTGACGGCTTTCAGATGATAAGATGTAGCACCACATTAGCCGTCCCACCTCGACATCGCAGTCGTTCCAGGACATGGAGATCGACCTCGGGATGCCTCCGAAGCCTCCACCTGCTTCGACAACCTCTCCTGTCCACACCTTGGACCATCACAGCACGGAAAATTGCGGCAAGTAGTGAGGTGGAAAAACGCTGATACCCGGACGAAGAGTGCGTGCACGCGCAGAGGAGACAACGCTACAATATGAATTGCAACGGTCACATGCATTTGGCCATTCTCACCATACGGTTGATGCTGTCGCTGAAGGCGTTGCCTGAAGTGACCCTGAAGGATTTCATCTTGGCGGTCACCTCCTGTTTGGGCACCGGAACAAAGCTTGACAATGATAAACACCATCAACAGGGCCCTCGCTATCAATACCCGACGATGAGGGAACACAAATAGCCTATTACAAACGTACCAGGGCAGGGGCACCCATATCGATTGTCCCATCGAACCTTTCGGAGCTGTCAGGTCTGTTGTGGACGGGCTTGGCCGAACAAAAGAAGCGGGGGGTAGAGGAGGGCATAGTGCTATATATTTACTGTCGCGGGGTTGAAGGCCGGCAGATGCTCGAGAGGTAAGGGCACGGCGATTCTTCGCGCGTCTACTGGCAATAACTTCTGATTCTTAACAAGGAGATATGTATCTGGCCCCAACGAGCCCGTATCCAGGACATACCTCGGAGTTGGTGAGGTTGAACCGCAACTCGGGAGCATTTTCCGCCTGCCGCAGGGATTTGCAATCAAGCACGCCCTTTTCGAAACCCGCAACTGAAGTGGTGATTGGTACCCAGGAGTGATGTTTGGAATGATTGGGAACGAACGATGAACACACGCGCGCGGGCAAAGATAGATCCGGAGGTACCCACAGGGACAGCATTGTTGTCTGGAGTTGATGTGGTTTATACTCAAACGCCGTAAAGTAAAGCGAGGTTCCATAAACGGGGCGCAGTCACTTGTGCACACATTCGATTCCGCTTAAGAGAAGAATGTTGGACCGCGTGGAACTCTAGTCGAGAGTCTGAAGCCTTGAAGAACACAACAAGAATGTACCAATAGTCCATGGGAGGTGAAGCGCAGGTCCTGATTGCAACGCAGCCGGTATGTCTTTCTCAACCCATTGAGCGAGTGAGTGGTCCGATATTTTTCTGCAGTACGCGTTGTGGCTACGTTCTATGAAAAGTGCAGTCGTGCAATAATCATGAGAGGGGTTTCACGCGTTGTTACACCTACTATGCTGTACAAATTGAACGACAGAGGACGACAGCTTCCCCTCGACTCTCACTCGTCACGGTGAAGCGAGTTCATAAATCCATATTAATTTGTATCACCCCATTTACAAACATCCCGGTACACCTACCCAACGATCTTCTCTCAACCGAACGTACGGCCCACACGTGATTTTTTCTTTTTTTCCTGCCCTACTCCAAGCTGACTAGACTACACCCCAAGCGGAAAGTAAAGCTCCAACCCAGGCGCTCTCCCATCCCGGTGTGTCACATAATCGTGCAAGCCACGTATGGATGTAGGTGCCTAAACACAATATTTATCGTTGGATACACATGACGTACGAAAAACTCACAGTCCTACAAGCTGTATTTCTTCGTTGACCCAGATCCGTCCTCCCTCACCAGTAACATACTCGTCGGCGACGAGTGCTGCGATTATTTCGCTGTTTTGCGTACAGGCCTCATCCTTTGTGCTGACTGTACAGGCTTGAAGGGCGGCCAAACCCACCCGAGGGGCACCTTTACTGCTACCGGCACCTGCTCGCTCCTCCAAAGTAGGAACGGCTCCGCCCAACTCGTAGACAGAACACAAGCAAAGGACCCCAGCGACGTATCCACGGAGCATCATGATCGGAAGGAAATGCCTGCCACCCGACTGGCCACCCAGGAAGCGAGGGTTCCTATTGGCTGTAGACTAGCAGACTAGCACTTTTTTCCCCGGTAGCTTTCTGACGTTCAAAAGGCGAATATTTTGTCGTTGCTTCGACAGGAGCTGCTCTGGTTGCTTCCTCCGCGAAGGATGACGTGGATCTTGCGGCGGCCTTGAGTCGTTGACGATACGAGACGCGGACAAACCACCGACGGTTGGTGCCGATGACGGTTTCATCTGCACAACATTCACGAAACTTCGTACCGTGAAACCTCCGCCAAACTTGTAGATAGCATACAAGTGTCCACAGCATGTCTATGTGCATGGATGAGAGAAACGGTTTAGCCGGTGTGAATACAACTGCATATAACTCCGCTGTGACAGTTGGACAAATCGGGCGTACGTGCAGCAAGGTACGACGCACATTTTTACCTGTGGGCATGCATTCTCAAAGGAATAGTTTGTTGCACTAACGTTGAAATTGAGATATGCTGTTGGTTGTCCAATTTTACTTGCACAAGAACGAACACTAATCCAGTTGTTTTGTAACAGCTTGTTGTCGCTTTCGGTGTTCAGAAATACTGTCATTTTTCCGAACCCGGGTGACTACTGTGAATCCAAGGAAAGGAAACCTCGGGACTCGGGGACAATCAAGGCGTGTAGCACGTTTTGTGTCTCTCGGCCGTAAAAATAACATCGTTTGTCTACAGAACCACGCTCCCGGTTACTTTGCTTCCTTCCGAGCGGTCTGCTGCCCCCAAAGAATGACACCCTTTCACTCACCTATCGCAAACATCCCTCCCTCCATTCCCGCAGCAGAGGATGGAGGGTAGACGACCATGAATAAATTCATCTTCAAACCATGGGTAACCCTCACCAGTACTAGATAGAGCGTCAACGAAACAACAGCAGCAAGAAAATACCCAAGGTCCAATCTCCGTTCTCGGAATATCTACTACTGACGTCGTGTTTCGCCCCCCATCGGATGTTGCTTGGGACGCACGTCTCGTCCGATTTCTCGTCAAAGGTGCAGGAAGGCGGCATTCCATAGGTCTCGGTGTTTTTATAAACCACATCGGTCGCCCCGGTGGTCTAGTGGTATCCTCGTAATCCGCTAGTCGCAGAGGTCGTGAGTTCGAATCCCCATGGGATGAAAAATTTACGAAACTTGGGGGTGAAAGCGAAATATAGCTAAAAAGCTCTCGTGAGTACCAAACTTCGACGCTAGCACCGTTAACGAGGGAAAGGGACGGCTGGATGGACCCTTCTCGCGATAAAAATAAAATGCAGCACGCATCACAGGAGGAAGGTGGGGCATGAAAAGAAATAAAAAGAAGAAAAAAACCCTGGTGTTTACCCCCCCCANTCCGCTAGTCGCAGAGGTCGTGAGTTCGAATCCCCATGGGATGAAAAATTTACGAAACTTGGGGGTGAAAGCGAAATATAGCTAAAAAGCTCTCGTGAGTACCAAACTTCGACGCTAGCACCGTTAACGAGGGAAAGGGACGGCTGGATGGACCCTTCTCGCGATAAAAATAAAATGCAGCACGCATCACAGGAGGAAGGTGGGGCATGAAAAGAAATAAAAAGAAGAAAAAAACCCTGGTGTTTACCCCCCCCAGTTGTAGTTGTAGGAAAAAATACACTGAAAAGTGTAGTACTCTACATACGCTGAAAAGTGTAGTACACGTCGCACCACAAAAATGGGGGGGCTGCCGCCAAAATAAATAGGACGAAAACACACACACACATAGAAGATGTTTTGGTCGGGAGACTTTCCGAAATCATCCCGTCCTGCGTCCTGCAGTTGCCACAACTTTTCCCGTCGTGGAGAGGACCCTCGAGGGGGGGGTTGGGGGGGAGACGACTCGCTTATTGATGGTCCATACTGTTTGAGAGAGAAGCAGCCAGATATCGTATGCTCGTTCGCTTTGCCACACTTTTTCCATGAAAAAACTAATCTTGAGTGTCTTGCCACATGTACCTTGTCCAACAGTGACCACTTTTGAACTGCAGTCGTGTCAAATACGCAGCACGTAAACCGTGCAGCGTCAATCCATATCAATCTACTTCGAGGGCCGGGCGGGGACAGTACTCATTGTTGCTTGAATCAATCATGTTCAACATTCTGGTGCTGACCAATACGTGTCCCTGTACATATTCTTCTGCCACATGTTGTATTCCCGTCCTGTTGGGCATCGTGTGGTCACCATCTGTCTCCGGCACCATCCACGGTTCGCCCGTCCTCATCGATACCGAAGGAGTTCGGTGTCCTTTTCGATGGTCTTGACGGCAAACAGAGCCAGGACAGGCGCGTTGGGGTCTTGATACGCCGTGTGGACGGCCACTGGCACGAGGTTGGCGTCCTCCAGCCTTTTGGCGCACCGGATGTACCTGTTTTGTTGTGTGCGAGCCCAAACCAGACATGGACAAGCAGCCACGTGGTTGCGACACAACAACGCCAAACAAGGCAACACCTAATACTCACAAAAGAAACTGGCGTCCATCTTTCCGCTATTGTCCGTACTGTTTAACCGATTGCCTGTCACCACGCGGTCGATGCATTGGAGTAAGATATACGCACGAACACCTGCATACACAACACAAGAGCACTGGCGGATACAGCACGCCTACGACACGAGGCAGGGTTACCATGGAATGTGATGAGATCGGACTGGATGTGGTGGAAAAACAAAAGCTTATTGACAGGAAAGACACATCACAAGGAGGAAAACGGCATCAGTAGCGACACGTGGGGGGCAACTATTGAAAAAAGCACCCGAAAAGCCGATGGGCGGGGGGGGGGCACAGTCGAAGGCGAGCTGACCCCACTCCCAACTTCTTGTGCCGACCCTACCTTTGGTCTACCGAACATACAAATCTATAATCCATCACACACCCCGGGGGTATTCTACACCCGTCTTGGTTACTTGTGCCCACGAGGGTACAAATACGCCTAACTCCCACGTCGACGACAACGAACACTTGGCACTTTCGGCGGCCCTGACCCTCTCCATGCAACAAAGCCGTGTGGGATACACAGAGTACCGGAAATTTGAAGTCAGGGGTAGACACTGGCCACACGGCACACGCCCCAAAGACAATCCATCCTCGTCCACACTTCGTGTACAAGGACCCCACCTGGAGATGTTGGCATAGCGCCGCTGATCCACAAACCTCTCCTGCAGACCCCCAGCGAGCGGAGGATGCGTCGGCTGAACGCGGAACAAATTCGATCCACCCCCGACGCTGTTGCTGCTGCTGCTGCTGCTGCTGCTGCTGCTGCTGCTATCGACGCCACGGCCATTGCTGCTGCCGCCGTGGTGGTGTGTTTGTCTAAAGTCTCGCTCGGTCCAGTCCCTTACGCGGTGCACGAGGACGCTGGTGCTGTGCTGCCCTTGCTGGTCGACGCTGCCGACCATGTCGCCGGCGAGCACGAGCTGACGCAACACCGAGACACACCAAATATGCGGTAGGCGCCGCAACAACAAACGAGCCAGACAGGGACAACAATTATAGGTTATTCGCGCGCACAGACTGACTCAGTGACGTGCAGCAAGCGGTGATCACACAACCATGGAAGGGGCGCCGCCGTTTGAACGCCCGGGCTTTCTACGGAAACTTCGACGTTCGTGCCCAAACACGCGACAAATCCGTTCAGTCAACGTGGCTCTTTTTCTGCCAGAAGTCGTCAACCGGACAAGGCAGCAAAACACAACAGCAGCGCTCACAACGGTTGTTCCTGCGACAACGCAACAGCGGCGGGAGGGCTTCGCGGAAAACGACGACGGTACTACAGCGGGAATGGTCTAGTGGCATCCCACCTGCCCGGCTACGGTGCACACGAAGCTCCTCGCCGGGATCTTCCTTACGGCCGTGACGCCCCACTTCCCGCAACCCTCCAGCACGCGGCGTCTCGACGATCCCAGGTAGAGAACCTAGCCAGCCACAACCGAACCGGCGATGCACCCTCCTTTTAGACCCCCGACAACCGCCAGTTGCTTCCACCTAAACTGCTTCCAAGATCGTGGGTGATGTTAGCACATAAGAACGTGAAAGCAACACCGCCAAACACATGAATTTACATACTGTTGGGTACAACTGCGAGCGCTACATAGCACAGTGGTCACAGCACCAAACGCAAATGACGGCGGGCTAGTCTCGGGATGCAAAACCTTCTTGAAACGGTAACGGATGTATCGTATCGGCAGCAGTAGCCGCGGTCCGACAGAGCCAGCAGCGCGTAAAGAGAACGTCTCATCACAACTGACGCTCGCCGCGGGTAACTAAAAAAACACAGGTAGTGCCCTCGGCTAACGCGAAGTAATCATTGCTAGTTTTTCCTGGACCCTTATCTTTGAATGGAGATGGATTCGTTGTGTCATAGAGCAAAAAAAAACGAAACAGAAAAAACAGAAGCTGAAGGCTCGTCTCAATCTCCACCTTGATGTTGCACGTCATGCCCCTCTGCACCAGCCGGTTGCGGCAATCGTCGACGTGGCACCTGCAGTTCACGTTGCACTCGTAGATCTGCGATGGGTGACCCTCGTCAAGAAGCCTCCCCTTGCTCGAATACTGCCTTCCTTGCTGGAGACACTCGCAAATTCTGGAAGGGAGGGGGGGGGTAACCTACATTATTTGAAGTATGGTACAAGCTTCCATGAAAGGTAATATCGACTGCCTTGGAAGCTGTTCATAGCTGCCATGACAGCTCGTCCTTTGAACAACTCCCCAAAACTGTAAGGTACTTTCATGGAAGTAAGGCAGCTTATATGAAAGCAACTTCCACGGAAGCGTTTGTCAGGCAGGCTAGCAGGCAACCTCCATGGAGGCCAACTTGCAAGAACCCAACCCTTACCAACCAACCATCACCCTATAATGTCGCCCAATTTTATCCTCAAGCTGGACTTGGGTTATATACTTCCATGTAAGGCGTGTCGTGAAGCTTCTACGGAAGCCAAAACTTCTATTTCCATGGAAGGTACCCGAAGGTGGGCGCCTTCCATGGAGGTTGATTGATATGACTTTCATGGAACTCACCAAGCGGCCTCAACGGAAATCGCTCGTAAAATGCCCCTGCCTTACATTTCCACGGAAGTTCCCTAAACTTCCATGGAAGCTCGCCAAGTGACTTCCATGGGAGTCTAGTTCAACCAACTTCCATGAAAGTGGTATTGACTTCACACATTTGTCAAATAATGTAATACAATAATAGGAGATCGGACGGACATGGAAACGTTCTCAAGGAGAGGCCGAAGAAGGCATGCGGAGAAGGGTGTGATTGGTATGCCGACCACGACTCCCCGCCCCTGGAACTTTTCAAGGAGGAGCGGGGGTGAAAACCGATATCAACTACGACTACGGTGCTGCTGTGTTGTGATCCAAGTCGCATCGTCGCGGTGCCGCCTGCACGCCCGTCCAATCACAAAAAGCCCACCTCCAACGGCCGCACGGTCCGTCCGCGTGAATGACTCTACCGTGCACGGTGACGGATGGCGACGCGGGCTTGAGGGGCCAAGAGCGGAGATCAACACACCGTTGGCGGCGCACCTCTTTTGAGAGCTACAGCTGCGGTGCCGCGGCGACAGCGTTGCGGCTCACCTTGGGTCTCGGCAGGTTGCTGGGCCGGTGCAGGTGCAGCACCGCTTCTCCCTCTCCGGACCTTGCCGGACCTGAGCCGACTTGCTGAGAAGGCGGGCGGGAAGGGGCAGGTCGGCAGCGGTGGCTCTTTACATATTTAGCACACACCGGGGGTTTGAGGGGCGCACCATAGGAAGGGCATGCAACCGATCGACCAAAGTGAAACAAGTTATTGTCTACAACAACCGACACCACCATAATCGATATCAACACGACAACATCGATCATCTTCAACATCATCGACGAAAGTCCCATTGGCCAGCGTAAGGCCAACCCAAAAAACAATTCCCTCCCCCCCGCGGTCTTCGAATGCTAGTGCAGAACCAAACGTCGTCTCAGAAAGGCGGTCGTAGCCACACACTCGCCGCGCACCTGTCAACCGTGGCCGGGACGTACGTGAAGTCGATGTCCCTGGGCTTCGTCAACAGGCCCCGGGGGAGCGGCACCTCGGGGAGAACCTTCTGCCACTGCTCGCGGGCACTCGCCTGGTCCTCCTCCGCGGCGGCCGCTGCCACTGCCGCTGCCGCGGCAGCCGCGCCGCCGCCGCCTCCGCCGCCGCCGGCGTATCCCTTGCCGTTCGCCGTCCCGGGCGCCGCCAGCGCGGAGTGGAAGGGCGTCTTCATCGCCAAGGCCAGTCCCATCTCGAGGGGGATAGGGTAGGGCTCGTTGCCCTGGGACAGGTCCGACAGCCGGGCGATCTCCTTGTCCTGCTCATGCACCGTGCGCTGGGCGAAGTGCTTCGGGCAGAAGTAGGGGAGCTCGGACTCCTGGCAGGGGTACCAGTTCTTCCGGCCGTCGGGAAGGACCTCCTGAGCGGCAGCAAAAAGAAAGGCGGCGACAAGGGAGAGAGCCGTCAGAGTCCACACCACACGGAACGAGGAAAGGCGGGTGCTGTCGAGAAATCGTACGAAACAAAAGGGGGCGTACGCGTAAGACTATCAGCGGCGTGGGCGACATGGCTCTCCTGCTATGGGAGTGACATTAGGAGGACCTTGAAGCAGAAAAGGAGCAACAATATAGAACATGACAGGTTCATGTCGAAGTCGCGAACAAGAGGCTGGGGGTGGGGAGAGGGGAGGGGCATGGTTGGGGGAAGGGAACGCGGGGTATGGAGAAGGACGGGCGTGAGGACGGAAAATTGACGAGGAGAGCGGCGCTACTTGAGCAACACCACAGTGGCAGCACAGCAATACCACTGCAGCTAGGTACAAATGCTTCAAATAAGCGCCATGTACGACTGTCGAGCACTTTGCATCTCTCATTCTCGGCGCTCCAATAACGCTTGGTGGGCATCGATGCCGCACGGGGAGCGCGCCGACAAGACAACACTGTCAGCCTTTGGAGCTAGCGGTCGGGGGTAACGCAAGAATAAATATTTGAGTGCAGTTGACATCACACTGGACTCGACTCGCCTTGATTGCGCATGGAAAGTGGACCGAAGCATTACAGCTGGATACCCGGCACCCAATCGATGCCCCCTTTTCTTCGCAGATTATGCAACTCAAGCATCGGGCACGAAAGTACTCCTGTGTGCGCATGTCCGGGGTAGGGGGGG